TAGCAAAATAGAGCACTCTTTTCTCTATTAGACTATATAGAAAGAAAGTTTTTTTTAAGCTTACTATATGGCTATGTAACGTCGTGATCAGAACTTTTGGTACACCCTAAGTAATAGTTTGATTATTTTTTTAGCAGTCCATTGTTCAGATAATTGTTTTTATGTTAATATGTTTATCATGTACTGTGTTCTTTTTTTGTTACATATAATATCATATTTAGAATGAAGATGTATTCTACCCATAGGCCACTAGAAATCTACTCAGACATTATCAAATCTTGAGTTCAATAAGGGTATGAGTGTGCGTGTCTACTCTTCAATCATATCCATTTCTATCTTCTATGATGGATTTGTGAAAGGGCGAAAATTATAAATTACATTGTTGCAACATGACCACAAGATCGGTCAATGTGATTCATTAACAAACAAAGATTGCACTGTCAACTATCACGTACACTATAATGAAGTTAAGAGAAATAAACTTTTTTAAACATTGACCCGATAATGGTCGTTAAATGTACACTTAGCAGCATGAACAATAAAGCTATTTGTCAGTATTTTTGTCGAAATAATTAAACAATATTGAAAGAAATTCAAATAAAGTTACTCAAAAAATGTCAGATACCAATGTCTATATAGATGATTAATGACTCTGATACGTTTCCGAAGACCTGAACCAGATAATAACTTCAACCACACAACCAGCATGACCAATCAAGTCATCAGTAAATGTGATCCTATAGTAATCAATTGAACAGCCAATTCGTTTGATATGAATTCGATGAAAGCATCTAGATCGTGATTACACGATCTGTTGAAAAAAAGTAAGAAAGCGAGCATTCATGATTTAAAAACATTCTTCAACAAAGAAACGAAAAAAAAAACGACTTGAATTTTTCTCATCAATTTTTTAAAATTTTATAAAAGAAAGATGTTTCACTAGAATTTCTAATAATGATAAACGAATAAAAGTTTGAAATTAGATTTCTTGAAGTAATCTTTATGAGTCATCAAATAGTGTATTATTTTCTTTTAAAGATCAAAATGAAAGAGCTCTAGTATGGATGGTCATCACTTGACGCACAACAGCACTCTTACCTACCCACATGATTGCGCAATGAGCTAAAGTTACAAAAAAGAATGATTAGATATCAAATGAACGGAATCGAATCCGAATATAAGATAAATGGATCTGTTAAGATCCAAGTATGAAAAGTCATACTCATACAAGATTCAACAGTTAAAAATGAATAGATAATAAATGTGTAAATAATACTTGCGAAATTACGAATAGTAAAAAAAGCAAATACGAGGCTGCCATAAGAAACAACATCGTAAACACAGAAATACATATGAACTTTTGGTAATCATACTGATATTCAATTTCAAAAAGAAGTATCGGGAGTGTTTTTTGAATAATTTTTAGTAGAAACAAGATAGATAGCTGTAGTGTTTTCAACAATTCAAAGAGACAATCCACTTGAGAAATGTGTGCTGAAATTTGATTGACCAGCACTGAAATAAGCAAATTACTTCTTGGTAGACATTTTGAAAATGATATTCTGTACTAATTTTTAATTCGACCTTGATCGTTAATATAATTGGAAGATACGAAACATTATGCTATTTCGATCTACATAAGGTCAACATTGCCAGCTTGTTCCACTCAAAAGTTATAAGATTTTTCTTGGAATCTACAATTTCAGTCCATAGGCCTGGAATCACCCGAAAAATAACATCTGGACAGAGGTAATTTACCATGCTGAGAGGAATAGCAATATTTGTGACATTTATACTTAGTATGTTATGTGGCGGCAAACTGTAAAACTTTAAAAATACTAAAATAATGGTCTCAGATCATTTCGAATCCGAAAAACGAATATTGTCATTCGGCTCAGCATAGTGAACTACTCCTACCGAGATCCTTTTTCAGTTGATTCCAGACCTATCGACTGAAATCAGGAGTCTCAAGAAACTCTTAAGTTGAACTAGTTAGTAATGGCGGTCTTGCATAGATCGAAAGAGCAGAATTTTTCCTATCTAATAGCCATATTAACAATCAAGGTAGACTGAAAAATTGACGTAGAATATCGTTTTCAAAATGTCCTCCTCGATATAATCTACTTAGTGCAGTGCTGAGCAATCAAATTTTAACACGTGTTTTTGCACCTCGATCTTCTCTGTGCAATAGTGAAAATCCCAGCTCACTCTCTTGCTTCTATCAAAAGTTATTCAAAAAATACCCACGACTCTTCTTGTTCTTGAAATGAATATTAGCTATTTCAGATCACTCTATCTAAGTCGTAAACAAAGTTCACAGCCTGAAACAATTTATATTCTTCTACTTGAATGATCTCGGATAGAAATCAAATTTACACTTATACAAAAATTTCAATATTCGGTAGAACAAAATTAATCCTTATATATATTCAAAATTAAGTAGAATATTAAATATCTTTAAAAAATATATTCGAAAAGAAAAAAAATTTTTTTTTTATGTGAGTTATCTATGAAACAGAATATTTATGACAAAACTAAACTGTATACCAGAGAATATTGTAAATAACATGTTTTCAAAGAAAAAAAATGCTTACAATGCAAATAATAGTTGAAAACGAGGTAAAGATTACAGTTTTGTTCCTATCTCTACTATTTTCAATATACAAATAGGCAAATCCTATCATTCTTTGAGTGTGAAAAAAAAACTGAAAATATCACAATAAATAAAGAATTTTAAATGATCGAGAAAAAATAGTGAACAATGAACAATGGTCACTTATATCTCCGTATACATAGTATGATTGTGGCTGTTGTTTTACTAACACGAAAGTTGGTACACTTTGTGCATTAATTTGATTTGTTGAAGATATCATCATAATCGATCAGATTAAATAAGACTTTTGCTAAGAAAATAGAAAGATATAAAGTATGACATATTATTATTCGTTTTAGAAAATTTAAGTTCAAATGACAAATTATTATTCTCATTGAATCTATATTGCTTTCAAGATTAACAATTTAGAGATCAGTCGATTGATGAAAAATCGTGATTTCAGAAATATGTATTTTTTTCACATGCTAACATCATGGTTACGAAATGTAAATCTAAGTTTAAGTAAACTTATACATATTTATATATGATGTAAAAAGACGATAATGAGCAAATGTAAACAATATAGGCAAATATACTTTCAGAATAAATTGATACAGTAACCCATTAAATATGTATTAACATTCTGAAATTCCAGAAAAAGCTGTTAGCACAATCTATGTGAGAATAAAGTGCGTAGGACGAAATAGTTACTGTCACTAACAGAAACGTCTGTTTTACAAATCACCTTAAATCAATATCTCATGTACTTGATACTCTTGTCGATTTATCAGTCAAAATGAAGTCAAGGTGTGGGTATGGGTGTGAGTGTTTGTTTGTATAACTATGTTCATAACCCACACATCCACACCTACGCGCGCCCACCCACACACACACCCAACAAAACAAAGTCCATGAACATACACTTTCGTCAATGATGCTGATTTAGAAACAATAACGAGAAAAAAATGTAGGATGTTAAAACAACAGAATGGAATCATAATTTAATCGCAAGCAGCGGGTGTTATTGCTACTCTTGAACATCATCACCAACTAATGAAGGCTCTAATCAAAATAATATTAGTCCATTTCTTCAGGTTCAATAATAGTATTATTCAAATACCTAATTAAAATATATTCATATGAATTTTATCAGGATCTCGCAATAATAAATTATGTATTTTTCTTTGATTTTTCTGATTAGATACTCTTCGCAATCGAATATTATGTTCAAATATAGTCTATTTATTTGCTTGTTTTTTTCCTTTCTCTTCCAACTTATGAAGACTATTTATCTTTGTACTTTTTTTTATTGTTTTTGTTGAGCTTCTTAATCAACATTTGTTTCTTGATATACTATTATCAATTTTTTCTCTAATTGATACTTCTTTGGACTAAAGCCAGTCATAGTATTCAGTTTTCTGTGGCACTGATAGAATTTTTGCCTATTTCTCATTTTCGGAATAGTATTTTGAAAATTCGTAAACAAGCATAAAAAAAAAAGAAAATACCGACTTGAAATAAATAGTTAAGAAAAAATTAGTGATATTGTTGTTTTCTTTACCTTTGAACCCACATTCACTTCCATGTCTATGACCATGTGCAATAAACCTATGTATCTACGCATATATTGACTATACATTGTACTCACTTCCGGAAGAAAACAGGTAAGAGGAAAAAAGAATCATGTAGCCAAAAACAAGTACTGAATCATAAGGCATGACATTCTTGTCAACGAAAATACGTCAGGAATGATATTTCATCATCGCATCTATCCAAGTTTTATCTATATAAATACTCAATCAAATTTAATAACTAGTTCATTCAAATATTCAAATATGTCAAATTCAAAATCGATAAAAGATATTCGTCTATGTGATGATAATGAACGTTTGGAGCATCTTATACAAATTTTTGCTAAATACCAAATGGCCGGAAGACGATATGAAGCAAGAGCATGGCATGCTTATTTTCGGCGCATTGCTATTAATCCTGTTGTATTTTATCGACATAATGCCACACTTTTTTATGAAGATAATCAATATGATCATGAAACATTTCAAGTCATGGAACCGACTTGTATTCATGGTGATTTACATATTGGTCAATTTCAATATTATTTTGATGACGTCAAACATGAAGAAGTACTTAAAATACGACGCCATAAAAAAATTATTGCACCATTTACATGGGATCTCAAACGTTTAGCAACAGATCTTGCACTTGTTGCTTATTGTGAAGGTTTTAGCGATATTGAAATAATTGAAATATTACGTGTTTTTATTCGGCAATATGTTAAAAATGTTACCACAACAACAGACAAAATCAATTTATGCAGACAATATTCTGATAAAAATGAACAATCTCATCAATTAAAATCATGTCTATTACATAGGCAAATTTCAGTCATAGGCTCAAGTCAAATTCAATATGATATGCATGATATTGATTGGAAAAAACTTGATACTGTAGCCAGTTTAATGATTTTAGCCGAACAATTAGCTATTGTTGTTGCCAATTCACATTGTCAACCACCAGTTTCTATTTCACCAACACAGAATTTGATAGAAAATAATGCTGAACATTGTACACATG